TCTCCTTTTTTTTTTTTTTTTTTTATAAGTATAAATAAGATCAGAGAGAAGGTAAAGAACTAACCAATCACAGCTAGTCTTCCATTAGAGTCACAGTCAGCCCCCCAAAGTGTTTGTTTAAATGAAGCAACCTCCCGAAATCCTTCCCTATGTATTGGAAAGTTTAAATTAAAATCAAGTGGTTTACTTAAGTCTAGAAGATAGACTAATCCACCAGATCTGTCAGAACCCAGAGTTGTTATTCTGTTTCCTTGTGTTAAAGTTTGACAAATTAGTAAATGAAAAATCTAAAAAGATAAGAAAAGGTGAAGATTCTGAAGTTGCCTGATATTTAACTACAGGTAGGAATCAAGTAAACCTGCACTATACAACATCCCCTATGGCAAGCAATACCTAAGGTTTCAAAAAAAAATTCTGAAACTATGTTCTAATGCAATAAGTAACTACAGATATCCCAATATGAGATAGATTTTCTATTTTTGCTTACATATGATACTCGTACATCATCCAAACTTCAAACATAAAATAATTAGTATAGAAATTATGTGATAGTTTTTCTTCCAAATAACGAGTTATTCTTTTTTCTCCTCTCTCTCTCTGAGTGTAATAAGGTTGCTTGTCAGGCAGATCTTCTTACCATAAACATAGGAAATGTTATTACCAAACATGATGACACAATTTTGCACAAGCATAACAAACTTCTGAAAGGATACAGTATATGTTTGGACGCTGTGTCGTCAATTGGAAAAGAAGGCCTTTTCAACATCTTTATGCAAGATATATTAGATGGCATATAAGTCATAGCTGTGTCGGAACTCCAAATATGTCTTGATAGATCCCTGTGCTCTGCTCCCTGCCCTATATTAAGAGGCCATACACAATCTGCCATGTAGCTCTGGGGCGGATCAAATTCGTGTCCAACTTTTCCAACTTGCACAATACTACAAAAGCAACCGACTTCAAACAGATAAATGGATTGGAAACTCCATAGGAGACACCGAAGAATGTGAGAAGATCAAAGGTGAAAAGAGAACACAAAACTAATTGATACCCCCATGTGAACACAAAATATAAAATTTGGATTTGAAACACAGGTTGGTTTAATCAAACTTTAGAAAGATGTATAACACAAACCACAATTTGCATATTGTTAAAAGTTTACAAAATTACTTTATTAAAAAAAAAATTGATTTTTAATACACTACATTTAATTTTTTAGAATATGTACTAAAAGAGAGATTACAGATTATTTACTTATAATAAGTAACGCAAAAAAAAATAATAATAATAAAAAATAAAAAAATAAAAATCCCACAAATGGAAGTAGGGAAATAAGCTACACCAATTTTCCAGTGCCTACTCGGCACTGGAAACTGAATGTGGTGTTGCTCAGCTGATTGTAGCCAGATCCTGCCACTACCAGATTCTCTATATATAAGTGTGCGCATTAAAACAGGACTCAAGACACAAGGTTCCAGGTTTTTTATTATAGTGCATGACCAGCACCTCAAGGTGAAAGTCTCGGACAGCTTTTTAAAACAATGTTCCCAATTAAACAAAACCAACTGCAAAGAGAACATACTTCAATGAATCATTTGAACCACCGGTCAACAGAATCTCTCTTTTGATTATACCGTGTGATGAGGTTACGTTGACATCCACATGTTCCAGCGCAGAATTGCCCATTCTATCTGTCTCGTGATATTTCCATATCTAAACACATAATTATATAAGAATAAAAAAGTGAGCGAAGAGGGAGGAATAAATTTTCATGATATTTCCATGTCTAAACACATAATTATATATAAATAAAAGAGTGAGTGAAGTGGGCGAAATAAATTAATGAATTTCAGCATTCTGGTTTAAGAAAGTATTAGTAGTGAGTGGACATCAGATTTTATCAAGTACATCGGATTATAAACAGGCATAATTTACGGGTTATGGTATAATTTCTATTTGACTATGAAACCCTTGTAACCAGACTTTCGGTCCCATACAGTGTTGGTTTCATTGAAGTCCTACAGAAATTTCTTTTCAATCATATGAAACATTTCTCGTCATACAAAATCTCAAATGATTCTTCCACTTACCCAACCAGCCTTAATCCAACGATCATGATGGAGCCTAACTACCCATTTTTTCACTCTTAGGTATTCATGTCCTTCAAAGTTCGCTGCGTCTCTATGATATCCTACTCCAACCAAAACTACACAACTCCAGCAATGAAAGAAGTCAAAGAGTTCATGAACGAGAATGCACACAAGGATGGGCCGTCACAGAGGTAGAGTACGATACTTGGTCAGTGAAAACTGAAGGGAGGATTCAGATTCACGCCATCAAGAGTGTGAAGAAGTGCAGTGATACTTGTTTAAAGAGAAAGCTGGATTGAACGTTACAATGGTAACTTTGCTTCCAAATGTAGAAACAAAATGAAAAAGTTTTTCTAACCCAAAAATGCCAAAAGAATAGATGAAGAGGTGCAAAGAGCCAAAGACTCTTTGTTATGTATAATAGAAATGGTGAAAATAGTACATAAAACTAAATTAACAGTTTACCATTTTCCCCAGCCCCATCACTGTTTGTTTTGTCCTACCAGTACTTCATGGAC